AATCATGCTTTCATCTTGCAATACAACCTAGTTTAGGCTCACAACCATACGTGAGAATAGAACCAAAAACCCAGAGCTTTTCAGATTTCCCATAATAATTTTTCTTGTCATTAAGGCTTGAAGTTTAGAGGTTTCTGCTATAGCTATCACTCTACCTGTATGCATCCTAGATAGCCATGTTGAGCAGCTATGTGAACAGCAGTATTTCCATCCTGGTCCACTTCATCCAGTGAAATCCCTTGTTCTTGCATAAACTGAAGAAGCCACAGAAGGATTTTCTCCTAAGGGCAAAGAAATATCACAAAAGATAAGAAATAATGAAAAGCTAAATAATACTAGAGGAATACTGGTGCTGTCATCTATTACTAATTCTATCCAATAATTCCGTGGTTTTGTTCTCTCTTAACTTTGTAGGCTTAGTGCATTAAGGGACTCTGGTTTGTCTTTTCAGTGGTTTTGGGTTTCTTTTTTCCTCCCAAGGAAAAAAGCTGAAACACTTTATTTTATTAGAAGACAAAACAGGAAAAATACCAGTACTGTAACACATTCTGAGAAATTGCACATAAAGACTGTAGGTGCCTCTGTGCTGGTGATGAAACCTGAGGAAGAATAACCCATATATCAAACTGAAAATCAGGTTGCAAAATCTGGACAGACTTCACAAGCCTGTCTGGAAAATTAAAACAGGAAAATGCTCAGATCACAAAGCTGAGCAGATTATATTTTTCATATCTATAATCATTCCCCATTTCTGTGTGGTTTTGCTAAAGAAGAGGCAACACAACTAAAACCAGAAAATAAAGCCACCCTAAGAACTCAATGTATTGACTCATGGACCATTTGCATGTCTGGCATGTTGGGAACAATGGGGAGACTTGGACTGCAAAAACCTGTCACTGAAAGTCTGGAAACCAAAACTGAGGTAGAAACTTTTTTTTTTTTTTAACACCACCTTTTGTGTGTTTATGTAGATGAAATACACATTTATTTGGGTATTCTTTTCTAACAATGGAGAGTTATAAATGTGCACTAAGCTTTTTTGATTTCTTATTTTCTCCAGGCAGTTAATTTGGGAAAAAAGTTCTTCTCTCTAGGAACTTTCCATGCCACTCCAGATTAAATTGCCATAATGAACATGATACATATTGAAAATCTAGAATAAATCTATAGATTACATAGAAAAGTGAGGTCCATTAAAGCTACTACAGCTGCTTTCCCAGTTTTTCTACCTGAAAAGGTGAAAAGATTAAATTACTACCTAGCATAAAACTTTTTTATTTAAACATATATTTTTTAATATCCTGCATTGATATCTATCATGTTATAGTGGCTCAGAGCTCCAGTTCAGAGGGGCTTTATAGATTCTAGTGTTGCTGAGGCAAATGCTGATCCACAGATTTAATCTGCAGCACCTCAGTAGCTTCTGTGACACATAAGTACATAATCATCCAAAATTATAGATGGGGAAACACTAAAGGAGACCTAAATGAAAGAGTACTGAAAGCACATATAGGACTCTGAGCAGTCATTAAGTAGAAAAGAGAAAGAATAAAAATGGAGAAAGAAAATTCTAAAAAGGTTGGAAACCTGAATTTTTTGTGTAAAAGTAGCACAGAAATTTTAATCTCAATGAAAAGGAGAGGAATTGTCAGACCCTTATAGAGCTATTCCATGATGATTCTGCCCATTCAAGCTTCTGGGTCTCTGCTTACTCCTTCAGAGGGCTGCTCTGTCAGATACTTATCTTCTTCATATCTTCACTTCAGCAGCAAGTTTGTTCTTATTACAAGGTGAAGGCATAGCTATTTTGACTTCTCCTTGGCTGAATGCCCAACACAGCTGACAGCCAGAGATGTCTACAGATCACATATCCCTTTAAAAATACTTCTGAGCAATTTCTCAATATGCCAGTGGTGCTGGCCAGCAAGGAAGAAGGATTATACTACTCCTATGAATTGCTCTTATGTTTTAAGAATGAAAAGAAAAATATTTTAGCAAAACTTATCTGCAGAATTGGAAGACAACTATAGCTTTGAAATTATATACCTCTTTGGAACGTTTTATGGACCAGAATGTTAAGCATGTTTTGTCATTTTATGACCACAATTGGCATGGAGCAAATGATGCTTCCTAGTCATATATCTTATCCACAAGAAAATCAAATGGCTGGGTGGCTCTATTCAATCATCTAGGACTACCTGTGCACCAAGTGACCACAGGCACAAGGTCATAGTTCTACTCAAACAGTTTGTGTTCCAACAAACTTATCTCTGACCAAAAAAACCCAAGAAAACAAATACGTTTTTCACTTAAAACTAGGGAAAACAAAACCATCATATATCGAAACATGCCACATTTCACTTCATTAACACTCATATTATGTATTTGAAGATGAGGACAATGAAAAATAATAAACCGATAAATACTGATAAATTATTCAGTGTATCTGTTACTTTTAAGACCTATAATCCTTATACTTTAGCAGTTATTTACACCCCTCTGCCCAATTCTAGACCTACAATAATTCAAATCTCTCTACAAAAAGATTTCAGGAAAATTTGGGACAGGCTGCTGACTTTGGTTCAATCAGATGACTTTTGGAGAAGAAAGTACAACTAACATGGACCATTTAAATCATTATATGAGATACAAAAGGAAGGGTTAGCATGCTGAAGAGTACTGACTCTACAGCTAATCCTAGCCCCATCACTTGATATTAATTAAATCAACTGGTTTTCCCAGCATCCCCTCACAGCAGAGGAGTAGGAGTGAGTGAAAACAACACACTGCCTCTGTAAAAATGACAATAGACAGGAAGGCAAATATCCTGAAGTGTAAAACAAAGATGTTTTGTTAGGTATCTGCATATCTGAATGCCATATACTCCTTCCCACTGTGCTCTCCAGAACTCTACCACCATCAAGGCATGCACAGGATCCCTTCTCGATCCTCAGCCATGCTTTAGGCTGGTTGCCCAGATACTCCCTAGATTCTCTGGAGTTCACAAACCACAAACCCTTGGCATTCCCCACCCTCTGCCACTTACCTGTGCAGTCCATACTACCACAACATCCCCAATGGAAAGACCTTCCAGCCCCCTGAAGCTCTAAGTCAGGCCTAGGACGATGCGCACCTCAGACTGCACCACCACGTTCCTGTGACATGGTAACTGAGCCAGGCACAGCTGGCATGCCCTGCACTCATGACTTGTGCCCAGCATGAAAAGGCTTGCCAACCATCATGGTTTCTCTTGTATAATCTCATGCTTAAAGAAACCCTTGCTAGGAGCTATGATGACCAGCCTACAGGTTGACTTTGAGCTTAAATTTTCCTCTTCCATCAGATTAACTTATGAGGTCCCCTCTCCTGCTGGAAAAATTAAATGTTGCTGACATGTCCTTGGAGGCAGGCCATGACCGTAGTTTGAGGACCTTTACCATAGGAACTTTGCTATGAACTCCCTTCTGCTGCCCATTCTAAAATATAATTCTTGAAGAAAAATATGGCATGCATGTCTAATGCCTGGGGAAACAATGGATGGACTGACTCTCTTGGAAAATTATTCAATAACAGGTCTTCCTTGTAAAAATATTACTCTTGTAATTCTGCCAACACCAGTGTTTACATGGATTATCTCTCATGTAAGTAATGGTAAAATAAATTAAAGCCTCCAGAACAGTGCCAAGTAAGCATTTAAATTTCTCTAACTTTTTTTTTTTCTTAACACAGTTGGGTAAGATAGTCTGGCATTCCTTCAGCCTCAATATTCCCTCATGTTTGAAGGTTGTTTACGGATTATTTTAAAAAAAGATAATTGGTATTACACATGAACTTTCTTTGGCATTCAGATAACTAAGAAAATTTGGCAGCAATTTATATACCACCTTTTGAAATTTCATGGGTGGCTGATTGTAGCTGGTGTTTCTTAAGTGGTAGAGCTTCCATTCTGCTTTGAAAAGAGTCTAGATAAAAGTGTGCCAGATCTGTTTCTGGCAGTAGATAGCATAACTCACTGAAAAAAAAACCCCAAAACTTCATTGGCTTCTTTAGTTTGTATAAATATCTTTAGAGATGAGGACAAAATTAGGTTAATCAAATGAAGATATGAATTCAAGTTCACATGCAACTTTCTCTTCCAAACTTTTTCTTCCCAGTAGCAAGCACTCTTTTCTCTAATCCAGTTCTGATCTGGCTCACATATTCTGTATCCTCAGTGCTGGGTTTACAGCAAACTTGCTAGCACCAGCAATCTGTATATCCAGCAGGGTCCTACCTTGCACCAGTAATGTCTGCATAAAAAAGGAAAGTGCAGAAAAAGGAGGTCTCTGCACAGCATGAAAACAAGGGTATCTGTGTGCCTATGGAAACAGCAGGAGAAAAGGCAGACCCCCAGCTCCATAGCCTTCCAAACCTGCCTCCTCTCCTTCCCTATCCCTACAGTAAATTCATGCTTGGACAGAGGCTGCTAGCAGCAGAAATATGCAATATTTCATACAATAATTATATGGTACTAAAGGAGACAACCACACCAGCAAAGAATGATTTTCTTAGTGATTATATTTTGTTTGTTCTCTCTTAAGAAGAGTAAAAAGTATTAGCACAAAATCAGTGAGGTCTGGTGTCAGGCCAATGTCTGGGGGGTTGGAACTAGATGATCTTTAAGGTCCCTTCCAACTCAGACCAGTCTATGATTCTGTGATTCCATGATTTATCTTTAATGTCTGTCGAAGAAACTGTGGAATAAAATGGTCCATCTGCCAAAGAGATTAGAGAAGAATAACTGATGACTATTCCTTTCACAGTAGATGCTGGAGAAGGTCCCTTGAAGAGGGGTTATTGCAAGATCTACTTAGGAAAGAACAGATGTTGTGGAAAGAGAATGTAGTGTAATTAAGTGGAATATTCGTTCCTCCAGATATTACTAAAGCACTAGAATGCAGTACTTCAGTGGTGTCTCACTGTTATATCAATAGACAAGTTAGGTGTGAAACAGGACTGATTTACAATTAGCTTAGCTGGCTAGAGCATGGTACTAATAACACCAAGCTTGTGGGATCAAGCCCCATACAGGCCATTTATTTAAGAGTTGGACTAGATAATTCTTGTGAGTCCTTTCCAAATCAGAATATTCTGTCAATCTACAACTTATTTTTGCATGTCGTTTTCAATGAAAGTGGCTAAAGCTAGACAGATGATGCTCAAGTTCCACCACACTTCACTGCCAATACAATGAATTCTTAAATTGTAAAATTCTGTTGCTCTTTTGATGTGTCCTGTGAGTCCTCTAGATGACAGTTTATCTCTATATAGATTCTTGGGATTTACTGGTTGGCCTAATATGCCAATATGGCTAATATGGCCTAATCTTCTCCTTGCCATTATTCAAACTTTATAAAACAAAACCCAATCAACCAAAAAACAAACAAACAAGTTTAGAGGGAAAATGCTGAAAAAATTATACAGATTAAGCTGGGAAAGATTTTGCTATACTTCAACTAATTCAGAACACCTGTAACTAAAAGCCACAAAATGACACACATACTTTAATCTAAATTCTTGTACAAGCTTCTAAGTAATCTACTTGAAAAAGTAAGAGAAAGTCATACCTGGCCATAGCAACCTGCATAATGAATAAGGCTTGGGTGATCTTTTGAGCAACTGAGTTCTGCAATGGCTTCTGTTTCACTCACCATCCACCGAACACATTCCAGCTGACCATTCTAAACAAGCAAAAAAAAAGTCTAAATTCCAGCTGTTTCCATTCTAAACACACTTCCTAGAGAGCAAAAAGTTTATCAGAGTTATTAAAAATTTCCAGCTTGATTAGGATTTTAAAGAATAAGCCAATAGCACCTTTTGTCTTTTTTCTTTTTCTGCAGAAAGGCTGACTTATTTAACAATTAGCTCCTTTACTTCCAATAATACTTGAGCATACTTTGTCATTCACAGAAGAGAGTGTAAATGTGCTGGAGTTCTTCCTGTAAGTAAGAGTGTCCCAGCACAAGTATTTTTAATGATGACCTACATGACTGGATTTGTCCTGGGTCATTGTAAAGTTCTGTGAAAGCCCTTAAGTGATCTGGCTTAACTAAATCTTGTGGCTCTTGATCCTTACTTCCAGAGTGGTTTTCAACACTGATATAATGATATTTATTTTTCTTGTTCTTCCTTTCTATCACTGTAACTCCCATAATGTTGTACTATGAGGGATGTGCACGTATTTTCCACAAAATGGTAAGTATCAGAATTTATTGGCTTACAAACACATTATATACCTACGTTGAATAAACAAGAAAGAAAAATTGCTAAAATTTTGCAAGACTTTAAACTGGCAGACTTTACAGTTTGACATGGCCCAAGAATTCAGAGCATTTCATTAGTACAACTAGGTATGAGTTACATTTTCTAATCATATAGCTTGGCCCAGAAAAATAAAAGAACCCAACCCTGCCACCTGCACTAGGGCCCTAGGTCATTGAAATGATGCCCCAAATATGGAAAACTGCAGGTTGCAATCTACCAGTCTTCTCAGTTTCCAAACTTTATCCAAGAAGCAAGTAACAATAAACCACCCCAAAAGAAACAGAAACTCTGGTATTATGTTTCACCCCTTTCCTTCTTTGTCCTTAAGGTATTTGGAGGACAAAAGGAGTGACATTCAACCATTCACTCTCAGTAAAGAACCAGAACCACTATGATTAAATCATCAGCTTTCCTGCACTATCTTTTATTTTAGTGTAGCAACACCCTGAATTTCCATATTTTCCTACATAATAAGTTTTCCTGTAAACTTGGACATTATTTTTTTTCACATTTTCACAGGTTGTTCTGCAACATGTACATTTTAATTTTGATGCAATTGCTTAAGACAACTGTGAATTTTCACCTCGAGGTGCTTTTATGCTTTGTAAACTTGTTCTCACACTTGTCTTAAAGATTATGCCAGTATTTGTAAAAAACAAAGAAACTGTTATGCTCCCTAAAGAAACAACTGAATCCAAGTTAACTGAAAGCTGCTTGAAATATAACAAAAACTCTTTTGATTCAGTAGACTGATTTAAAAATTAATGCATATGCATTGACAACAATGTAAAAACTGTCATTGTTACACAGTGGATATTACATCTTGTGTAGTAATCCATTTTACTTTTTTATGTAGTACCAGCCAACAGGGTTTTTTTTTTTCTCACTTATGAAGCTTGAAAAATAACATCCTGCTGGATGCATTTCTTACTGCCATCACAGGAGGAAACTAAATTACCTTTAAGTCAGGTTACAGCAGAGAAAGGGCCCATTACCTTTATTGCTAATCCAGCTGGAGTTAGCTGCTCAATGTTTCGTTCATTCAAACAGTCTTCACCCATCAAAGAAGTGAGATGCTGCAGGCATTCTGCATGTCCCTTTGATGCTGCTACATGCAACAGATTGTTGTCACATTCATCGTGGATCTTATCCAGATTATCTGCTGCTAAATGTGGCTGTTAAAAAAAGCGGTATGTTAGTTACAACTAAGGATAAAAAGATACATTTATCCTCACAGCCCCAGACACAAGCCAAACACACGGAGGTTTCCCAACAGGCATGTTCTTTTACAAGTCAAAATCCAGAGCTTTTCACTTCACTGTATAGAATCTGGGTACTATTAGCATAAGGACAGAAGTGGGATGTTCACCGGCTTGATTAATTGTCAAGTTTCTCTCCTTCTCATGCAATTGTCATGCAAAAGTGCCATATTTTAAGTGCCTTTAAGTCTTTGCGCTAGTCTGATGAACAAGGTAGCTGTAAAAATACCCATAATTTGTCTGTTTCAAGTTTTCTCTTTTTTTTTTTTTTTTTTTTTTTTGGCATTATATTGATGAGTAATTGAAGAGAAAACATTCATGACTTATGAGAGACATCCCTGATTAATTTTGCTCATCAGAAAAGTGGTAGTTTACGCAAATCACCATTTAAAATGACAGAAGACTTTCATGTGATAGTTTGTTTACATGAAAAAACCTGTTGGGATATTTACTCGAAGTTCTACACCACCATGATGTAATACATCATTTCTGCCCAATTCTAATTTAAAGACAAAACAATTGGATTGAGAAACTCCAAAAGAAAAACAGAATATTGAAGACAGAGTCAAGGAGTAGCAATAACAAAGTTCCTAGAGTTATGCAGTCTTGCCAGAGTATTCTTCCATTAGTGTACTTCATTAAGAGGTTTCAACTAGTTTGGAAAAAATACCTATTTTCTTACCTATGATGTCCTCTTTCCCCCCCTCCCCAATTTCTATTTCAGGATTAACTTGTTTTTATTACTTAATGAGTAATCTAATATTCTCTTCTGCTTCTGTCTAGTTTTGAATATCTTCCTTTGTTCTTGCTTCTATGTTAATGGCATGCCTTTGTGCTTGAGCTAGGCTGCTAAACAGAGAAGCTAAACAAAAATCTAACAAAAACAGTTTTTATACATACACTGTGCCTTCACCAGCTGTTCTGTGTGGAGATCACATGCTCTGCATCATTGTTCTGCTAACTTGCAGCCAGTTACTTTGGAAACCATCATTGACAGGGCCTGATCACAGTGCTAGAATTTACTAAAAAAACCTTCATATGGGTCAGAGGCCAACGAGGCTTTACAGAAAGCTCCTGCCTGAGAATGCTGCTGCAACAAGACAGCATAAACACTCCTGAATAATAATCAGAATACAACAGAAGCCTCTCTGTTCCCATCATCAACCTCTACATAACAACAGTGGTAAACCAGCAATAATTGAGCAAAGTGACCTACAAATGTGAAAGGCAAAACTCAGTTAGGATTTAAATTCGACATTTAAGTGATCCTATTAGTTAAAATGTCTGTCTTAACAATTTCAGTGTACTGCATAAAACAGCAACTTTGGCCATGCATACATAAAACTAGTGTTTTGGTTTTGCCACATACTTTTTTAATATTAATACTTTCCATTTGGAAGTCCATGTGCCCAATTTCTAAGGAGTCTACAAGATAAAAAGGGCAGCGGTTCAAAATATGAACTTCATCAACCTACCTGGCTTAATAAACCAAATCACAGATCACTTTTATTCTATGCTCCTTACAAAAAAGATGATACTTACCAGTAAAGATATTTGGCCTTCCTTTACAATGTTTAAGATACTCTTAATTTTTTTCACCTCTTCGCTCCTGTCTTCCGGGCCCCCTGCACTGTTCCAGCTCATAGCCAGCTCCTCCAGCTGCTTGCCCTCTGCCACTGCCGTCTGCAGGTGGAAAGTCCTCCGGTGGCAGTTCGGCATAGTCTTCTCAGCTTTGTGAGCCTGAGGATCAGCAAGCGTCCTGCTGAGGAAGCCCTTGCCTTGGGCTTCAGATTCATGGGCTGAGCTGCACTTAACTAAGGGCTGGGAGAGCTCTAATTCTTCTGCTGCATGCTTGTGCTGATCCAGGACAATGGGCTGCGTTTTTCTCAGCTGAGTGCCTTTCACAGGAGACAGCACACAGAACTGCGTCCCGCCAGGAGGCGAGCTCTCGGTGCTCCCTGCAGGACAGCTCTTGACACTTAGACCATTCACGGTTGAACACACATTTAGAAGTCTTTTCTCAGGAGCTACCTTTGTGAAAGGAATAGGTTGCTGACTTGATTTAATATAAGGCACATCCAAAATTTCATCCATATCCAGGTCATAGTGCTCCAGCTCCCCAAGCAGAACAGCAGGCTCGGTGCTTTTGCTTTTAAGGCTCTCTCCTTCTCCTGGACTCTGGTCATCATTTGGAGGAGCAGACTGAGAATCACTGTCCTTCTGGTATTCTCCCTTCTGGTTCTTCTGGTCATCACTTTCATTGTTCTCAGAGCTTTCTGGCTGGTGCTTTAATGGGGAAACTCTCTTCACTGGTCTGAATTTATTGCACACATCTGCAATTCCTGTTGGTTTCTGTGCATTTCCAAGAAGAGTTGAGACCCCACAGTTCCAGCTGCTACTGGAAACTAGAGAAATAGAAGAATTTGATTTAGCAGTGAGTGCTACCTGACACATGACATGATAGCATGCTTTAAAGATATACCCAGCCAAACATCGGAAATGAGAATTATAT